CTTTTAAATTCTGGCTGCGCCTCCTCTATAGAAGTGAGCCTAATAGTCTCATCACTTATATGCTATGCGAATCTCACCTATCAGATTGGTTGACACGTGTTGAAGGGAAAATTACACTGATGGGGCTCAGCATGGATGATTTGATCCTTCTTTCGGAGAAGTACGCTTTTGGCATGATTAAACAGAGACTGATCGATACAGAAATGGAAGAACTTAGAAGCCTTGCTAGTGGACATTGCTCTCCCATTCATTGGGGGATTTCTCTTAACGGGCCGCTGCGGACTCTAATCTGGGAGAACCGGGTTTGATTCCCCACTCCTCCACTTGCACCTGCTGATGTGACCTTGGGTCAGTCACAAGCTCCGGCACAGCTGTCCTTGAAAAAGAGCAGTTTGTGTCAGAGTTCTCTCAGCCCCACCCACCTCACAGGGAGTCTGTTGTGGGAAGGGGAAGGGAAAGGAGTTTGTAAGCCGCTCTGAGACTCCAAGTGAAGGGCGGGGTATAAATCCAATCTCTTCTTCTTCTTCTTCTTCTAAACTGGCTCTCAACAGAACCTCTGTCGGAGATATTGGGTGTCAGCTATGCTGCCATAAGGGTTGGGGGTGGGGGTGCTAGCTTGCCAGGACTACTGCATTCTTTTTCAGCTTCTGTAACGCTCCTTGCAGGTGGAGTGTTGTGCCTGGGATTCTAGGGAACCGTGGGAGCGCTTTCGGTTCTCAGCTTCGGCTCTAACGGCCTGGGGCTCCTCCTCCCGCGCGTGGGAATGTGGCTAATTGGCCTAAGGAAGGGTGGGGGGTGCATACGAATACCCTATATCCCATTATGCTTGTAGGGGCGACGCCATTCTTAACAGTGCCTTTGTTAATGCATCTATAGCTCTTCAATAAAGTATAACCTTTCCATGAAGCGTATCCTCAGTTGTTGGCTGTGGAACCTGACACTGGGCCGCCTACTCCCAGAAGAACCCACCTTACCACTGCGGTCACTTTCTGAGGCCTCACTTTGGGTGCCCCCTGCCTTCAGGGATAGCAACCTGAGGAAGGGCTTCTGTGAAGTCCCTCCCAAGGGGATATTCGTTTGTCCCCTTCTGTTGCCATCTTCTGCCAGCGGGTGAAGACTTGTTTGGTTTTAAGGACATAAGAGACGCCAATGTTGGATCAGGCCAAAGGCCCATCCAGTCCAACACTCTGTATCACACAGTGGCCAGAAATACCAGTGCCATCAGGAGGTCCAGCAGTGGGGCCAGGACATTAGACGCGCGCCCCCACGCTGTTGACCCCTCCCCCAAGCACCAAGAAGACAGAGCGTCCCTTGCCCCGGAGCCCCTATCTATAGGTAAAGGTAAAGGTTCCCTTGCTCGAAAGCCAGTTGAATCCAACTCTAGGGTTGCGGTGCTCATCTACGTTTCAAAGCCAAAGAGCCAGCGCTGTCCGAAGACGTTTCCATGGTCATGTAGCCGGCATGACTAAACACCAAGGCGCACGGAATGCTGTCACCTTGTGGCTAATAGCCACTGATGGACCTCTGTTTTGTCTGGCATTCCCTCGTGGTCCCTCCTTCCTGCCCCGATCTTCCTAACTGATCTTCTTGGGTTTTCAGAGATGTGTATTTCCAGTGTGAGTTTTAACTTGTTTTATGGCCTATTTTTTTTATCCAGCCCTGTTTCTAGTTGTCCGCGGCCTTCAGGGGTCTTGACTGGGCCAAAAGAAGGGACATAAACCCCGTGAATAAATAAATATCGCCTCAGGAATTGTAAAGTCGGTACTGAAAAGGCCAAGGCCAATGGAGGGAACTGGCCCAAACCTGTACTGAGAAGGTAGAAACCATTATATTGAGGAGGAATTTCTTGTTTATTATTGGAGACTGACGTAACTGTGACTGGGTTCAAGGGAAAGCGGATGACGTGCAAGACGAGGGAATTTGGATCCAGGGACAAAAGAGAACCAACCACTAGGTTCAAAGGACAGATGAAATGCTATGGGGGCAAGTTCAAAACTCCTACTCATGAGCAACCAGACGGGGAACATAAGAAGAGCTCTGCTGGGTCAGACAAATAGTCCCATCTATTCCAGCATCCTGTCACTTGGAAGCTCCCCTCGCAGACCATTTTGTTTCCAAAGGACATAGATATGATGACTTTAAATTTGTAGTTCTAGAAGTCATTAAATCTAGCAAATATGATAGGAAGGATATGTGAAAGGTCCTTTTGAAAAGAGAAGCATTCTGGATATACAGACTCAACACCATATATCCACATGGTCTGAATGCATCTTTAGATCTGAGTTGTTTCCTATAACTCTTTTTCCTTAGTCTTTCCATGTTAGGACACCCAGCCATTGTTCAGTTTGTATGTAAGTTGATTCTGGAGCAATCCATGATGGTGTGAACATAGATAGTGGCCAACCAGTTCCTCTGGAGGGCCAACAACAGGGCAGAGGGGTTGAGGCCTTCCTAAGAACATAAGAGGAGCCCTGCTGGATCAGACCAGTGGTCCATCTAGTCCAGCCTCCTGTGTCTCATACAGTGGCCAACCAGTTCCTCTGGAGGGCCAACAACAGGGCAGAGAGTCCGAGGCCTTTCTAAAAACATAAGAAGAGCCCTGCTGGGTCAGACCAGTGGTCCATCTAGTCCAGCCTCCTGTCTCACACAGTGGCCAACCAGTTCCTCTGGAGGGCCAACAACAGGCCGTAGAGGCCGAAGCCTTCCCCTGATGTTGCCTCCTGGCACTGGGATTCTGAGGTTGACTGCCTCTGAACGTGGAGGTTCCCTTTCGTCACCATGACTAGTAGCCACTGATAAATCTGTCCTCCCTGAAACTGTCTAATGAATCTGGAGAGTCTGGTCTTGGTCTGTGCTTTATGACTGATCAAGCACTAGGAACGAACGTTGAGAAAACGGCAGCTCAAGGAATTTCACTTCTCGGCTAAGGACAACATTCTGATTGGGCTGGTCTCCGAGACTTCAAAAGCTAAGAGGCCTGGGGACGACTCGTTAAAATAATTGGTACTTACATTTTGGAGACTGGGATAAATACAGAGGGGACGTAGCCTTTGTCTCCTCCTTCCGTAGGTCTTAACACTGAAAGAAATGCAATAAAATAAATGGGTAAATAAAACCGTAGGCTTTTGTTCATGGCTTCTGAAGATGCTCTGGTTTTCAGCTTGCACTGGAAAGGAGCAAGAGTCCAGTAGCACCTTAAAGACTGACAAAATATGCGGCAGGGGAGGAGTTTTCATGAGTCACGGCCTCACTTCTTCAGATACAGCTCAAATAGAAGTCCATCTGTCCTTCTATCTTGGAGACTGGAGTCCTATTGTCATTCGGCGTCTGAAATCCCTCCACTCTCCAAGATAGGACAGATGGGGTGCGTTCAGACGGGGCATTTGCAACGGAATAGGTGCCGGTTGGAATCACACGTAGAACATCTGCCTTCCGTCCCTAACCATTGCAAAGAGCTTTACACCGTTGTATTCTGCCACTAGGTCCCCAAGTGGTGGTATCCTGAGTACAACGGTTGTAATCGCTTTACCCCCCGTCTGATCGCTCTCCACTGTTGAGAAACAACTTCCGTTCGGAAGCCTGAGGCTTCCGATTTTTGCCCGCCATTTTTTTTTAAAGGCGATATGCGCTTGGGCGAAGCTTCGCCCTGGCATTTGTTTAAAAAAAAGAAAAGGGCCTTAGTTTAGCGTTTCGGAGGCGTCCGGGACCTCAGGGAGGCTACTTTGCTCTTTAAACTTTAAAGGTAAATCCTTACCTTTAAAGTTTAAATGTAAGACTGGGTTTTTTGCGCATGCGCGAAGATCGCCATTCTGTGGATGGCTGCCTATGCGCATGCTCAAACTGAGTTTAAAAAAAACAAACGCCGACGCCCACTGCATGTGAATGGGCTCCGCAGACAGGAGGTAAGTGTGATCGCGTTTCAGCCGGCATAAACTGCACCGGTTCCAACCGGTACATTTTATGCCGGCTGAAACGCCCCATCTGAACACACCCATGGACTCCCATTCTGGCTGTATCTGAAGAAGTGAGCGGTGACTCACGAAGACTCACACCCTGCTACAGATTTTGTGAGTCTTTAAGGTGCCCCTGGACTCTCGCTCTTCTCTACTGCTACAGACAGCCTAACACGGCCACCCATCTTGATCTATCTCCATAGCTTGCACTGGGATGCCACTTGGATATCCACATGGAGACTAGGGTGGATTGGCCATTAGAGCCACTGGGAAATGTCCGGGGGGGGGCACCCTGCTCAAGGTGAGTGGGGGCCACCGCGAGCTGGCAGCTCCTGCTGCAAAGGAGATGAGCAAAACGGCCGTCGCCAGGAGTGCGGCTGGCAGGATCAGCTGCTGCCAAGAGTCCCTGGAAGTCCGTGGAAGCCAGCGGCTACTGCTTCGAAGGAAAAGGGTGCAAGCCAAGCCAAGAGTAAGCATCCTCCTCTCCCCCCCCCGGTTGCGGACGCACAGCCAAGCCGGGGTTAAGTTGGGTGGAGGCAGGAGGGTTGCCCTGTCCGGGGCTCTTTGGGCCTACCAATCTCCCCCCTGCATACGGAACTACATGTCAATCAATCTAGTCTATTGTTCTACATGTGGTAGGACTGTACACAGAACATAAGAGAAGCCATGTTGGATCAGGCCAGTGGCCCATCCAGTCCAACACTCTATGTCACACAGTGGCCAAAATCCAGGGGCCATCAGGAGGCCCACCAGTGGGGCCAGAACTCCAGAAGCCCTCCCACTGTTGCCCCCCAAGCACCAAGAATACAGAGCATGAATACCCCAGACATAAGAACCTTAGAGAAGCCATGCTGGATCAGTCCAATGGCCCATCCAGTCCAACATTGCTCTCTGTCACAAGGTGGCTAAAAAACCCAGGTGCCATCAGGAGGTCCACCAGCAGGACCAGAACTCCAGAAGGCCTCCCATTGTTGCCCCCCAATCACCAAAAGCATCACTGCCCCAGGCATAATGCTGTGCCTTGTTCACGCCATGGTCCCCCCCACCCATGAAATAATTGCACTGAGGCAAGACCTACCAAGCTATGCAAGAAGAAACTATATAAAATTAATCATATTTTAAAAATTAACCTATTCACCATTCAAAAAATTAACCCGCTCTCTATTTCAAAAAGTCACTATTATATATTATAGCTACATTACTATCATGACTATATTTAACGCTCCAAACCTCAGCAAACAACAAACCATTTTACCCTGACATCTGGAGCAGAGTAACACAGGGTGGAAAAGGGGGGTTAATTCTTCCCCTGTTGGACATTTTTCTCACTTGCAGTTCTTCTGCTCAAAATCTCTGCCTCCCAAAACATCCAACCAAGTTGGGGACTCTTGCAAAGTGCACACTAGTGTAATGCTCCCTCTAAGCTGTGGAGTCTTCTGAGCAAAAATTCTACTTTGTGAGCTCCTGGCATTAAAGCTAGTTGAGAGCGAGCGATTTGGCTACTGAATATATTACTTTGCTCTGGAGCCATCCTTCCTGAGCTAAGGCAAAAATGTGTGAGCCAGAGGCTAAAAAACTGTGAGCTAGCTCACACTAACTCAGCTTAGAGGGAACATTGCACTAGTGTGCACTTTGCCTCTAAAGGTCCATCTTTTCTTCATACTTTCTACACAAATTAATAAAACAATCCCCTCTTGAAGCCGTCCATGCTTGTAGCCGCCGCCACCTCCTGTGGTGTAAATGTCGCATTCTCCATCTTTGGTTTTTATTTCTTCTTCCAAGCGTAATGTAATTTCGGCGCAATTACGCCACACAGAGGAGGAATCCACGTGTGGTTTTCACATATCCCAATTTTACGAAGAACAAGGAGAAAAAATAACGTTAATAAGAAAGAGGACCGCCGAACCGGTACCCCACCTTCATTTGGCTGGGAGCTGTAGTGTTTTCCAAAGGCTTTATCTTTGGGGATGTCCGGATAAAGGTACTTCAGTGGGTTCTCCGAAACGTTATCGGCCACAATCACTTTGTAATCCCGCAAGATGTCGGCAAATGGCAACGCGGTTAAACGACCCTTGTTATACGGCTCGACGGAATGGTAAATCTCCTCTCCTGCGGAGACAACAAAGTTGCTGGCAAGGGATGGCAAACTCCCTGAGCCTCAAACCTAATTTGGATCATTAGCAACGAGCAGCATCTGAAAACACGATTCAAAGGTCCCTTGTGCTTTTTTGTCCACTTAAGGGTTCCTGCGCTGACCCTTGGGGACTGGGGTTGCTACAGCAGAAGGCACACCACCGCCAAGCAGTGTTCCCTCTAAGCTGAGTTATTGTGAGCTAGCTCAGAGTTTTTTAGCCTCCGGCTCACAAATTTCTGTCTTCTCTCAGGAAGGATGGCTCCAGAGCAAACTAATTTATGCAGCAGCCAAATCGCTCACTCACAACTTTCATGCCGGTAGCTCACAAAGTAGAATTTTTGCTCACAAGACTCCACAGCTTAGAGGGAACATTGCCGCAAAGGCAATTAAGCAACACACCCCCCCTCTGTATTATGTGTTGGAAATGTATGTGTTTGCAAGGTCTCGGATTCCCGCCATTATAGGGTTAACTTGTTTACCTTTCTATGCTATTGTTTAGACTGACCTGGAAGGGAAACCTGGCACAGAGCCAATGGGGAATTAGCCCGGGAAAAGTAGCTTCTATTGTGATACAGATTGGTTGTTTGTTGCAGGTGACTTCCTTCTAGGGGTCAAGAAGAAGGTGTTTCTCCACCATTGTGAATGTCTCTTGTAACCAATGTTCCCTCTAAGCTGCGGAGTCTTGTGAGCAAAAATTCTACTTTGTGAGCTACTGGCATGAAAGTTATGAGTGAGCAAATTTGGCTACTGCATAAATTAGTTTGCTCTGGAGCCATCCTTCTTGAGCGAAGGCAAAAATGTGTGAGCCAGAGGCTAAAAAACTATGAGCTGGTGCACACTAACTCAGCTTAGAGGGAACACTGCTTGTAACCATGTTTTGTTAGCACTAAGACATAGAAAATGTAGCTCTTACGGTTTGTTACTTTTGTAGCTTCCCTGTGTACCCTTTAGCCTTAGAAATAAAGTATTTTAAAACACAAATAAATCTCTCTTCTCCAGTGAAGCAAGATCCATTGAAACTCTGAGTATTTAAGTATTTTTGACTATTTCCCCAACATTATGTGGGATATTCACGCGGTATTTTTCACCGTGCTCTGTTATCTACCAACAAGGATTTACTTCAGGTCCGTAACCAGGATTTTGTGGCTTGCGGGGCTATTTTTTTTCTGGTGGGGCTGAAGTTCTCAGTGCAGAAGGAAAAGCCATTTCACCAACAGAAAGATCTCTGCATTGCAAGCTGTCAACCACTTGAGATGACAGTTCTCAGCTGCTGCAAGTTAATCACTTCTGCCAATTCTGATAAGACGCCAGCAGGTGCGGGTGATGACTTCTGTAGTCAAGAAAGCTAATACTTAGGCAGAAAAACTCTCTTAAAGGAGTTCGGTTTCTTGACACAGAATTATAAGGGATCCTAGAGGTCACCTACTCCAACCCCCTTGGCTCAGTGTGGGAATTAGTCAACTACAGCACGCCACTCCGCTTAAAGGAGTGCACACCTTTTAAAAATATTTTAAAATGACAGAAAAAAACATTTACAGGAGAAATTCTTGTGCGGCTGATTGTGGAAGGAGGAAGAGGATAGCAGTTCAGACAGCATTCGTAGTTACATCCAGTTACTGAGGATCAGGGGTCATTTCCTGCAGGAGCGCACAGGAGCGGAGCTCCGGCAGTAAAGAGCCCAGGGGGTGGGCACATGTTGTGGGGAGGGGAAGGGAAAGGAGTTTGTAAGACGCTCTGAGACTCCAAGTGAAGGGTGGGGTATAAATCCAATCTCCTCCTCCTCCTTCTTCTCCTCCTTCTCCTCTTTTTAAACATTCAGCAAAACTTCTTGGGGCAGGCCCATAGCCCGGGTTTGGTGGCTTGTGGGGCTATTTTTTTCCTGGTGGGGCTGAAGTTCTCAATGCAGAAGGAAAAGCCATTTCACCAACAGAAAGATCTCTGCATTGCAAGCTGTGAACCCCTTGAGATGACAGTTCTCAGCTAATGAGCTCCCGCACCTCTTTTTCTACTGAATGACCCCTGCTGAGAATGCAGTATCAGGACCAGGTATGGTGTTACAAAAGGACGGATTTTTGAATACCTGCTAACAGTGTAGGGTTGCCAGGCTCCAGGTGGTAGCTGGAGATATCCTGGGATTACAACTGACCTCCAGGAGACAAAGATCAGTTCCCCTGGAGAAAATGGCCGGTTTGGAAGGGGGACTCTATGGCACTATGCCCCCACCGAGGTCCCTCCCCTCCCCAAACCCCGCCCTCCTCAGGCTCCACCCCTCAAATCTCCAGGTATTTTCCAAACTTGGAGCTTCAATCATCATTTGAAGGAAATGGAAGTCAACTAGTAATGCTTATGAAGGCCTCGGCCTCTCTGCTTTGTTGTTGGCCCTCCAGAGGAACTGGTTGGCCCCTGTGTGAGACAGGAGGCTGGACTAGATGGACTATTGGTCTGATCCAGCAGTGCTCTTCTGTTGTTCCTAGGAAGGCCTCGGCCTCTGTGCCCTGTTGTTGGCCCTCCAGAGGAACTGGTTGGCCACTGTTTGACCAGGATGCTGGACTAGATAGACCACTGGTCTGATCCAGCAGGGCTCTTCTTATGTTCTTAGGAAGGCCTCGGCCTCTCTGCCCTCTTGTTGGCCCTCCAGAGGAACTGGTTGGCCCCTGTGTGAGACAGGATGCTGGACTAGATGGACCACTGGTCTAAGCAGGGCTCTTCTTCTAATGTCTGGCCCTGCTTAGCTTCTAAACTCCAATAAGCTTGAGCTAAACTGTTCCAGTTCTGGATTGGGAAATAATTGGAGATTTTAGGGGTGGACCATGACAGGGCAGAGCTTGGGGAAGGACCTCAGCCATAGATTCCACTCCCCACCCCCCAAGCAGCCATTTCCTGATCTTGGAAACATCTGGATATCAATTGTAATAGCAGGAGATCCCCAGGTGCTGCCTGGAGGTTGGCAATCCCACTCTCCCCCAAGCACCAAGAAGACAGAGCATCACTGCCTGAGACATAAGAACATAAGGGAAGACATGTTGGGTCAGGCCAATGGCCCATCCAGTCCAACACTCTGTGTCACACAGTGGCCAAAACCTAGGAACCATCAGGAGGTCCAGCAGTGGGGCCAGGACACTAGAAGCCCTCTCACTGTTGCCAGCCCGCCCCCCCCGCAAGGACCAAGAATACAGAGCATCACTTGCCCCAGACCGAGAGTTCCTACCTATACTTTGTGGCTAAGAGCCACTGATGGACCTCGGCTCCATCTGTTTATCCAATCCCCTCTTGAAGCTGTCTGTGCCAGTTTGATATAATGGTTAAGTGTGTGGACTCTAATCCTGGGAGAACTGGGTTTTATTCTCCACTCCTCCACTTGTAGCTGCTGGATGACCTTGGGCAAGCCGTAATTCTTTCAGAGCTGTTCTCTCAAGGACAGTTCTCTCAGCCCTCTCTCAGCCCCACCTACCTCACAGGGTGTCTGTTGTGGGAAGTGGAAGGGAAAGGAGTTTGTAAGCCACTCTGAGACTCTATGTGAAGGGCGGGGTATAAATCCAATCTCTTCTCTTCTTCTATGCCTGTAGCTGCCACCAGTTGCTGCACTGGGGAGTTCCCCAGTTGCTGCAGCGGGGACCTCGGCCATTCCTCTCCTTCCAATTGCTTCTCCCTTCCCTTCATCTATTTCCTAGCCGCTTCTTGGAATTCAGACCGTGAAACGTTTGTACTCAGTCTTTGCTTTCCACCCTGAAAGATGCCAGCGACTACAGTACGTGTACAATAATACCTCCGAACAATAACACGACGAGCGCTCCACTTCCAAAGAGATGTCTGGCATGGAAGTTCTTCGAAGACACACCTCTTAGATTTGCGCTTCATTTCCAAACTGCTTCTTGCCCAGGCAAGCTCGATCGCATCAGATCTCAGAAGTTAAGCAGGATCAATTCTGGCAAGAACTTGGATGGGAGACCTCCTTGGAATGCCAGAGGCGGGAGGCGGGGGCAGGCTTTACTCAGCCACCTGAGTATCCTCCAGGCCGCCAGTAGGGGTCAGTCACCGGTGGTCGCCAGGACTTCCAGGCACACACACACACACACACGCACATATAAAAATACACACACAAAATCCCCAAACTGCTTCTCGGAGAGTGGAGCTGTTGCCAAACACAACTTTACAAACCGAGCACTTACCACTTTCTGACCTGTAGACCCAAGTAAAAGTAATCCCTCCTAAATTGCTTTCGCTAAACCTCAACAGAAACGTTCCGGGCATCTTGTCCTTCAACAAAACCCGCTGCTTCTCTTTGCTCACAAACCCCATGATGCACCTGCAAACGCAAGGGAAAAGAAATGACGCGTGACCGTCAGAAACGTTAAGAGGAACGCACTTGGCAAAAATATTATGCAGAGATCCGAGATAAGGAGTGGCCGCATTCCCAAATGCTCAAATTAACAATGCAGTCGTAAAAAGAGTTACAACGGACTGAGAAGGGTGTAAACTCTGCACAACTGCAGTGTTAGGCATGCAATCCTATGCACACTTGAACATCACCTCCCAGTGAGTAAAGTGAGACTTGTACACGTGCAGAGGATCACAAGTTCACCCAACAGTTGCTTCTGCAATGCAAAAACTCCCTGGAAATGACCACAAATCTTGCTGACTGGCTGATGGATCATGGCGCAGTAAAACATGTTTCTTTACTGACGTTCTGCTTTTCTCCCCACCTGGGACTCAAAGCGGCTTCGAATACTGTTCTCCTCTGTTCCCTCTCAACAACCCTGTAGGGTAGGGCCAGGCTGAGAGTTCAGGATGGAAGCAGGGTCACTCGGTGAACTTTCGCAGAAGGAGGAGGGATTTGAACCCAGGTTCCCCAGGACCCTAGTCCAGCACTGTCCGCTGTACCATACGGGCTCTCAGCACTCGGACTGTACCCAAGGCGATCCTATTTGAACTCTGCTGTGCAAATCCTCTCACGGCTCAACTGTGGGCGCATGTTGAGGTGACCGTGGGAAGTCGGGTTCTGTGACCTCTTCTGGAGGCGGGGCATCCCCCACTCTAGGGCTGCACCTCCCCGGCACCGATCGGCTGACCGGTCGGGAGACTTACCGGCAGCAAACTGAGGCTAGGCCTCTGTCGCCGGGAACACAGTGACGTCACTTCCTTTGTCCACCAGAAGTGATGTCAACGCATCACTGCTGATGTGTGGATGCTCTGGTAGTTGGGCAAAAACTGTACGGCAACAGGAGGATATCTGTGGCTACCTGTCGGGTCGCCGGAGTCTTTATAAATGGATTTTGATCGTTATACAGTGGAGACACATTGAAGTATCGCGCCTCAGAATTTACTGTCAGTGAGAATTTATTCTCAAGACGATGGTGTACAATTCAATGAAGAGTCCCCTTCTTTCTTCCGCAAAATCTATGACTAATAATGACCTAGTTTTCTTGCTATCAGACAAATCTCCTGAAATTACTGCAGCTGTCGCTGAGATCCTATCATGTGTATGGAAGTTAAGGGTTAGAGACTGTAATACTTACTTTCCCCCCTTTATTTTATTAACTCCAAATGGGTTCTGTTTGGTGGAGACCTTTTTTAGTATGTGTGTATGTGTATATATGTGTGTGTGCGTGTCTAGTTTTTTGAACTATTATGCCATTAAAGGTCTCTCTCTCTCTCTCTCTCTCTCTCTCTCTCTCTCTCTCTCTCTCTCTCTCAATAGAGAGTAACTACGCAATACTGGATTG